TATAAAAGAACAATAAATTACCTCTTACTTTTTATTTTGCTCCTCTAAATAACTAACCTACATCCAGAAAATGTAGGTACACATATTTATATGCAGAAATTTAGAGACTGTAATGAGTGGAGGTGTGTTCGCTCACCCCCGAGGCTGACTATATCAAAACCAAGCCTTTGATGTTATAGATGATTAAAAATCCGTCATGCATTGCCTTGACTGTATCAGCTCTATGCCCTACACTGAAATACACACCACAGTACCAGTATAACAAACACCCCTGCTTCTTTGAATTTATCCATCCATCCTTCCATCTAGTTTCTTAATCACTTGTCCAATTCAGGGTTGGAGCCTATCAACAGCTGTCATGTCAGAGGGTGAAAGGCAGTGTGCAGAGAATAGGAATAAGACAGTCAAATTGAAATTGCGGCGATTTATTGGATCTGAAATGATTAGCTCCATTTGTCGAGCCACAGAAAATTAAATCAGGAACTTAATGACAACAGATGAAATCTTTTGGTTAGCTGTAAGTACCAAATATTCACTACTTCTGTTGCTCACATGACTTATGGCTAATCTCTTTGTTTTACATAACTGGACATTCCTGGTAAATCAAAATAAGAAATTTGAAAATGCTGTTTTGGACTCACAAAATAAAAAACTAAAGACTTTTGTTCATATCGGCCCACAGTGAGATTTAAAAATGTCTATCAAATATTGATAACATCATAAATTAGAGAGTGCATAACGGCAATAAAACTGTGTCAGTGACACAGATGATTTTGGACCTGTTGTAAAAGTTGTCGACTGCACTCGGCCAACTTTGATACAACGCAAATGAACCACAACAAATAGTACATCCATTTTAATCATAGCAGGAACAGGGGCCTGCTCAGTAAATGTACTATGGTACTTTGGAAGACACGGACCTCCAGGGTGAAAGAGGTTAAAGGCCTAAAGAACTCACCGACAGAATATCCAAGAGATCCTTCAAATTAGTGCACCAACATGCAGCTGCTATGTAAAATGTAAAGCGCGTATCTAACAATGACAACTAAGAAGCACCACAGATGCAACAGCAACACAAGTTCAAAAGTATTTCTACTTTTCTAAACTTATAGGCTGCACAAAAGGCAATCGTGCTCAGTACACGCTGCAGAGTTTGAAGTCCATGATGATGGAGTCTGGGCCTGACAGGACACTGACTCCTCCAGTGTTCTCTCCTGCTGTATAATCAAAGACAGCCGGTCTCCAGAGAGCCGTCACTCTCAAACGAAAGGGCCGCTCTGGCATGGGCTACATATGGCCACCTGAGACCACCCCCTATTGAGTGGCTGACAACTTGTAACATTAGCCATTGTGTTGCAGCCAGGCCATCCATCATGGCTCACACCCTACAGTGGCTCTGGTGGTGTGGAGCCCACAGGCAGGACCCATGGAGGGCGTTGAGAACACTCTGTAACTCTGAATGACATCCACCAGCTAATAATTGGATTCAGTCAAACTTGTACTACCTCAGGGAACATAGGTTGTTTTAGCAGTACACCCAACTTCCACCCCTGTATTGAACTCAGGTTATATTTAGCGTGAGCTTTACTCTGCCTTATCAGCCACTAAGTTAATTTCCATGCAAGAGTGCTTATAGAGCTTGGCTGCATTATAGAGTACAGAGGCGACTGGGTAATAACAGTGACAGTCATGCTAACTGACAGAAACGGGGTGTATACTTTCAACTCTGTAATTACAGCTGTGTGTGCACCCATCCCTTCCAGTACCCACATCACAGAGGCGTCTCTTTCCCATTATCCTCCGTTTCCTTCAGCTTTGCAGTACAGTGGTCTGCTTACTTTAGTGACAGTAAGTCAGTAATCACTGTGTCTGGTGTGAAATCATCTGATTTACTCATTGCAGTTAGTTTGACCAAACACCATCACAGGTCTGCTGTGGGATATTTCAGATTTGATTTGAAGTACTCATTAAGCCAGTTATAGCAATATACACATGAAGAGCTAAATTTGCTGTCTGAGCTCTAAATTAACTCGAAATTAGTTGGTGGTGTTTGTTTCGTGGGAGAGGAGAGGGAAAGATGGGATTATATCGCAGGTGTTTTTGTTTTGTACAGCCTTACTGAGCCAAGTACAAGGAATGCAATAATATTATAGCCTACTAAAAGAAGTTGTATTACTGAACAAGTAGCTATGACATCTAATTATGCTGAAAGCCACTCAAGAGGAAGTATTTTGAAGCCAGTGTAACAGGAACTTTCCCTCACGTGGTGTTGTTAAAAGGACTAAAGTGGGCTCCTGACTCAACTTATTTCCCTTACACACACACACACACACACACACACACACACACACACACACACACACACACTCACACATTTTCATATCTTAGTGAGGACATGTAATTGCGATAATGCTTCCCCCTAGCGGCTTCCCCAAACCCTAACCATCAAAAATGAATGCCTAACCATAACCCTTAGCCTAAACCTAACCATAACCTAATTGTAACCCTGACACTAAAACCACATTTTGAGTCTCAAAAATTCCTTCAAACTCGTGGGGACAGGCATTTTGTCTGCTTAAGTCACCGTCGGTCCTCACAAGTATGGTAGCACTACAATTTCATGGAGGCTTTTCACAAAGATGACAGTTGCTGTGGCCACCATCAAAAAATATATGTACACTTTATTAGTTCCACCCCTCTGGTATTGGTTTGTACCCCCTTTTTCCCTCACAGCGGCTTTAATTCTTCATTGCACAGATTCAACAAAGTGCTGGAAACATTCCTCAGAGATGTTGGTGGTTACTGACATGCTAGGATCATACAGTTGCTGCAGATTCATGATGTGAATCTTCTGTTCCATCACCTTTCAAAGCTGCTCTATTGGATTGAGATCTGGTGACTGTGGAGGCTATTTGAGTGCAGTGAACTCACTGTCCTGCTCAAGAAACCAGTTTGAGCCATTGGTACAATGTGATCATAAAGGGATGGACCTGGGCAGCAACAATACTCAGGTATGCTGCACCCTTTAAACATTCAGTTTCCTGTTTTTAACTAACATGAATGGCACCTGCTGTGGTCTTCTGCTGCTACTTCTACTTCAAGGTTAATGATCTTGTGCGTTCAGAGTCGTTCCTCTGCAAACTTTGGTTGTGTTGAGTGGTTATTTGAGTTACTGCAGCCCTCCTGTCAGCTCAAAGCAGTCTGTCCATTCTCCTCTTACATCAGCAAGGCATTTCACCCAGAGAGCCCAACAACTATGCTAGATTCAAAGTCTCTTAAATCACCTGTGCTCTGATGTTCACTTTGAAATTATCAGGCCACCTTGACTTTTTAAAAAAATGTATTTATTTATCCAGGTAAAAAAAATCTAATTGAGATTAAAAATCTCATTCCAAGAGAGACCTGGCATCATGGCAGCAAAAGTCAAAAATACATGTACCACACAAGTACAGTACATAACATTTAAAACAAATACAATATCCCGTTTGTCTCCATGTTTTAGTGGACTAAGTTGCTGCCATGTGATTGCGGGGATTGATATTTGCATTAACAAGCAGTTGAACATTATACCAAACAAAGTGACTACTGAGTGTATGGATAAACAGCATACGTGTATATATATATATATATATGGTGATGAGGAGCACTACTCACTCCATAGAAATATTTTTCCAGTTTCTCTGAATGAGTTTTGTCATGTCCAAAGAAATAACTGATGTTAATGACAGGTTAATAATTTTAGCACACAACCAGTACTGAGAAAAAAAATCAGGGCATGTTGGTCTCTGCTTCATCTGCCTAATCCTCTTTAATCTGTCGCTCACAGGTATACCATTTCATCACAGTGAGTACAAAAAATGACTTATGAGTTGCATTTAATTTAACACAAAACCTTTGCAGGAAAAGCTTGACCAAGGGTTAAAAAAAGAAGACACATATAAGTCTGTGATATGTACCATGACGATCAAACTCTAGTGGAGACGGTGAAATAAGATGCTGGAAACAGCTAATCTGACTCTGTCCAAAGAGTAATGTTGATACACTGAACTTTTAGTGTTATGCACTATTTTTGTTTGCACGAGCCCCTCCAAATGTAAACATGAGCTGTTCGGATTTGATTGATGTCATTGGTATAACTGACCAGCTGAGCAAAAGTCCTCCTTCAGTTTCTGGGCTAAAGGCTAAACAGAGTAAGCATTTTCTCACCATATCTAACTCATGAAACACAGTGTATAACAAAGTGTCTCTGGTTCTTTTCATCTTCTCTAAAGTTGGCTTAAATTAAGTAGCTCCACTGGGCCAGGCAGCCATCAGCTCATATTGGACAGAATACTGAAATCCAGCTTCTCTGTTGACCTTACAATGAGCTCTCTGTGGAGCATGCTTTGCCCTCCACTTTCCAAATAAATACATTTCACTGTCCAAACTGCAGATCATAAAGACACCACGCACACTGAGGCAGACAGGGAGAAACAGAAGGAGAGGAAGCACCAGACAAAGCTGACTGTACAATGAACTCTGATAAGCTGTTGTAAACTAAACTGGTGGGCGTGTGGCAGGACCAGGGCAGCGACTTTCTCAGACGGTTGTCGATTATCTTTGAGATGTTTGTTCAGCTTATCGGGCATCCAGCATGCATAGTGATCATTCAGTATGATATTGCTCCATTTTCCACTTCAGTATTACTGTTGTTTATCATGCACTTTGTGTCATTTGTAACATTGTAAGTGATTTGGATCAGGGAATGGGAAGGTCTGTCTGTTGCTCTGCGTAACACTTTGATTACAGAATTTAACAGATTGCTATCAAATTTTCATTAGACTATAAACTTTGTTATACATCATATATATATATATATATATATATATGATGTATTTTGACACCATCCGCAATTACAGTAAACGTAACAGTTTTCATATTGCACTTTTCTGCTCTACCCAACCACTTTCAGCCATTCACACAAGCACTTTTTTTCTATCGGGCTCTGATGGATGCACTCGAGAACAACTTGGGGTTAGGATCTTGCCCAAGGATATCTGGCAGCCAGGGATCAAACCACCAAACTTCTGACTGGTAGATGACCTGTTTTACCCCTACTAGGAGTAACCCTTGCAGCTCCTATCTGAACTGGGTGGTTTCTGTCATATTTCAGACTTGCTTACAGAAAAAGATTAATGAGTTTGCATCAGAGGTTAGTGATGGTGCTTTCTGCCTATGAACAAAACCCAGAAACTATTCTAGTTCTTGTCACACCACATCTTTATTGATATATACCGAAGTGTCATAACTCGTCATTAATGGTATAGGGGAGGTTGTCAAATGTCGCCTTTATGGGTGAAAGAATTAAAAGCATCCCACCGCTGCTAGCATGGATAAAGTGCTGATGCATACTGATAATGTGAAGGTTTTTTTTACAGCACACGAGTTACATAAACCTGCCCAAACTGTTTGGCAGGTGCGTTTCACATCTGTGTTTGCAAAGCATCTTGCACAACAAGGTTGCTGCAGGCTATTTAAAGAAGCATTTTAGGGTCCCGCAAGATAAATTTAAAGCCCCTGCGTTATCAGTCAAGTTCAAACAGACTATCTGCGGCTAATGGAGATGGTGATTACCATCAAAGCAACGGATAGTTCCCAAACTGAAATCTCTGAGGAGAGCGATTGAGACTTACGAGGATATGGAGTCTCTCCTTCTCTCTTGCCTGTTTCTATTTCAGAATCAAAGTGCTCATCGTTCATCTATTATTCAATCTTCTTCACTCCACTGTTTCTCTTTCTGTTTTTACATATACCATTTAGCCCCAGCCCACTTGGTGGAGCTATATTTATTTTGGGAGTTTTGATTTCCCTGACCTCATATGGAGAGCTCTTTCTATCACTTTGTGGCCATTTAAAGTTATGCTGTTTGGATGTTAACAAACCTCTCTGCTCAGTCTCTACCTGTGATTTTTTTTAACCTTTTATACCTAGTGATTGTTCTCGTATCTAATCTAATAGAGGAATCAGATAAAAACAAATCAGAAAACAGCAAAAAACCCAACAAAAAACCCCATATGTTTTTTTTTAGTTTTCAGGTTTGGGAGTTACCAGCACTTAGAGAAACTACATTTATTTGCCCCAATTAAGCCAAATATTCATAATGAGAAACATTTGTGCATTAATCTGCTAGACACAGTACTTGTTGTATCGTCAAATTGTTAATATTTGAATACACACAACACATTTTGCATCGCACTAAAAAGTTTTTTTTACATGAACTTAAAACAATAATGTTAATTTTTGAGATTAAAACATTGAATAAGTTCAGGTTTTTCATAAAAGCACTACACTTTGGTTAGTTTCGTTATAGGAAAGAAACAGAGAAGAACTGCACACTTCTTAATATAATGCTGTAGTAGAGTGCTGATGCACTTCTCTGCAGCAGGTTATGGGGAGGATATAATGCAGCTGATTGCCTTTGTTAAGTGCAGCCTGTGACCTCTGTGTAGCTGGTACATATTTAGTGAGGCTAAGTGTGTGTGTGTGTGTGTGTTTTTTAGTGTGTGTGTTTCTTTAAGACTTGATGCTGTTTGTAACTTTTGTTCCCTGTGCGCTGCTTTAGTAACACAGCTTACACAGATAATGAGTTTCTTTAGTAGAAAAAAGATTAAACATAGCTAAAAATCTAGGATTCTGATCCTACTTTTGGCTTTGAATTAATTGCATCAGCATCGTGTTCAGACTCAGGTAAGCACAGTAAGGCCAAATCAAGACCTTTTTCATCTGACTTTTCTGTTAAGGGCTGTGTTTGGGGACAAAGTTACAGTGAAATAAAACACTGAATAAGTGTTCATTACATGTATTTAAAGTGGGCGGAAACATAGATGTCTTTCTAAGTCACAATAAGAGTTTGGAGTTGCCGCACAAGCAGCTTGGTGACTGCTGCCCCGCTGTAGTAGATTCCGATTCACACAGTTCTTCAAGTGCATATTTAATGACCTCTCATTATAATTCCTCTCTGAGGAAATAACTTTCAAACCGTCTCTACTTTCCTGATTAGGCCTCGAAGGAATCCCTCGGTGTTGTTTCCCCTTCCTCCCTCTTTCCTTCTGTGTCCCTTGAGCTCTCATTTATATAACTGTTCCTCCATGACCTCCTGTCCCCAAAGCTTTTCTTCTAGTTACCTACTCCACGGCATCACCCTCGTCTGAAATATATATTTGAATGTAACATTTGTGTGTTTAACTCCTTGTTTATCTTCTTTCTTGTCTTTCCACAGAACGACACCTGGTCAGAGCTGTACTCCTTTGCTGTTTTCAAAGCAATGAGCCACATGCTGTGCATTGGTTATGGCCGCCAAGCCCCAGAGAGTCTATCAGATATCTGGCTCACTATGTTGAGTATGATTGTAGGAGCTACATGCTATGCTGTTTTTATTGGCCATGCAACAGCTCTCATCCAGTCCCTGGACTCCTCCAGACGGCAATATCAGGAAAAGGTGAGGAAACAACTCCATCCCATGATTTCAACACTTTTCTGCGAGCTGTTTTTCTTTAGATCCAGTATTTCCTCTTTATTTGTCCTTTAAAAGCAAGTTATTCACCTGCTTGCAAAGTGTTGGATAAGAAAATGAGATGAAACATTAAAGCTGAAGTGGTGGCCCATCAGTTGAGTAATTTAGCCTAGCATGAAACAGAGAAGCAGCTAATCTCACTGATCATCTACCAAAATTTACTCACAAGCTTCTGTGGAGCTCCTGAGCTTAAACATTATGTTGTTTTTGGGGGGGTTGTCTGCCAATCAGAAGGAGCACAGCTTGATCCCTGGCTCCTTCAGTCTATGTGCTGAAGCATCTTTGGGTGAGACACTAAACCCTGAATTGCCACGATGTATCCATCCCGCACCAGATAACGACAGCTGTGGTTGGAAAAAGTCTTTGTTCCAGTTGAAGTCTATGGGAAAACAGCTTTCTGTCTTGACCTCTTTAAACACTTTCCTGATGAGTTCATGGACTCAGTCACTCATTTTGAGTCATACTGAATAAAAAATTAAGTCTGGTTAGATTAAAAAAATGAGGATTAACCATCATATGCTTACTGGCTAACAACTTATGATTGATAAGTCACCTCACAGTCAAAGACTCATCCTGATGCGGTCAGGACCAGCTCTATAGTCCAGAACAATCATTGTACTAATGGAACTATGACCAGCAAGATACAAAATCCAGTAAGCAGTAATATGTGTTCAAACAAGCCTACATTTTTACACTATTTGTTAACTAAAATGTAAAAATGTAGGCTAATAAGATTGCTAATATGCATGACTAGCAAGTGTTACCAAGGATTAATCTCATGTAGTCCAAGATCTTACAGAAGAAAACAACTTTATGTTCATGTTGAACAGAGCTGGATAAAATAGAGAGGTCCTTATGGTTAATGTCAGACATGCAGATGCTGACATTGCTAATGATTTGACGTAAAGATCACTGGAGACAGATTGGTAGTTAGTGTCAAGGGAGGAGTTAGATCAGTTTCACTATACAGTATCTGGAAGAGTATTTTAGTAACTGAAGGTCAAAAAGGATCTTTTTTTTTTACAATCCTCATTTTGTTTGTAGCCGATTTAGATATTTACTGCTCATTAAATGAAAATTAAACCATAAGGTCACGTAATTAGTTATCAATAATAGATAATACATATCATACAACAGGCTGTATGTGTGTGAGGAAGTGTAACAGCAGTGTGTGGCAGCAACCTCCTAAACACTTCAGGTTGTGACCTTAACGGCACACCATCAGGCGCCATTAAAGCACCCGTATATGCTGTCATAAGGACAATGAACCTGAGCGCGGATCAGAGCAGCGCTGAGCCGCGCTGCAGCAGTGGCCTGTCGTGGTAGCACAGTCACTCTGTTTCCAAGCAGAGTCTTGCCGGCTAGGGAGCAGTGGGAGTGCTGCCGGCTTTCAGCAGCCAATCAGAGGCTCCGGGTGTGTTCGGCCAGGTAGAGCCACATTGCCAGAGGCTGTGGCTGTGCCTGTGTGTGTGTGTGATTGTGTGATATGATGTCCCCTTGAGCAGCAGTAGAATTGATGAGGCAGCGGACCTGTGTGTCCCGGCAATGTCATCCTGAAGGTGACGTAAGCCATCATGGCCGCCTCCCTCTCTCAGAGTCTCTCACTTCCTGGTCACTCACTCACTGGATCTCACTCTGCCTCTGCTCTATATCATCTCTTATGCATCTTTAACTATCCACTTTACATGAGCTCCACCCCTCTTTTTCCTTCCCCTGCACTGCTTAAATGTCTCCACCTGATTCTCTCTGGCGTATCTCCTTCCTGATCTCTCGCTCTCCTCACCTCCGGATCTAAATTTCTCTCTTTTTTCCCCTTCTCTTCCTCTATCTCTATCCTTTCTGGTGGTGGTGTCCTTGAAAGGTGCAGTGCTATTGCTAACTGGCTGCTATACAAAGCAAACTGAGGGGGAGGGTAAACCTGTGGGAGAGACAGTCCTGGTGCACTGCAAGATATTTGAATGCTGTGTATTTCACATTGTTTGGAGTTTTTCTCTCTCTCTCTCTTTTTTTTTTTTTGTCAGTTTGGTGTCTGGCTAGCATTGTGCGGCTCTCCCCAAAGAGTTTTTTTGCCATGTGGCAGGACACTTGAGTATAAATCATGTCCAATAAACGGTTTAGAAGAAAACGATTCAGCCAGCAGAGTGCTGACTGAAGCTCTTGTCGTCACAGTTTGCCCAGGATGATGAGAGTTACACGGCGAGAGCAAGGTCCTTTGTTTTCTGTCTGAGGAACAAGTCACCCAGATGTGCAAAGTTTAAGTTTTCCCCCCAGTTTTAAAAATCTTGTCGAATTTGCACCACAAGCAGGATGAACTCAGCAAACTAAAACCTTAAAAATTTAAGAGCTGTGATGAGTTGTCTAATCCTAAACCAGCCTGTATGTTATCCAGTTTAAGGATGAAGCGAGGAGTACGAAACCTACATGCCTTGACATTAGAATTTTTTCATAATGCTGTGCTCTTTATGTTTATTCTTTCAGATTTAGACATTTTCTAATACATCCTCACCCTGTCCCAGAATATACAGCTTTTCTGCTGAGGCCAAGAAGTGCATTTCCCTTAAAAACCTTTTTTTCTGACCAGTTGTCATATTTTTTTTTCTGCTGCTCTGTGAGGATTAGTATTTGAGCTGCAGGCATGTTTATTAAAGAAAAAAAAACTCAGAGAGCAGAAAAGTGCCATGCATGCCAGTGAGGCTGATGCTGATGCTGCCGGGTGAATTTGCAATGCTTCCAGATAGGACTGTGAGTGGCATTTTTATCATTTTGGAGAGTGTTAGCAAAACACGTCTGCTGGCAGTCTGTTACAGCCCCAGTGTGGATTGAGCTAGCATTGTGTGAAGGGTTCCTTTTCAACCCAGAAGAAATGTCAGAGTCACAATTCATGCAGGTTAAATTTAGCGAGAATTTGGCTTGGTGGCTTTGGTGCAGAGACCTTTGTGTTAGTTATACATAGTAACAGTGCACAGTGACACATAGCAGAGGGGCATAGAAAGAACAGCAGTTCTACTTGTGCCTCTTTTTTGAAGATTCAAATCTGATACACCAATGAAAATGATAAAAATGATGAATTCAGGGATTATAGATTCTAGATTTGACCGTTGATTTGGGATACCATATAACTGCACTGTCCTCTGATTCCTAGCTCAGTGAATATGCTATATGTCATATTGCTATAGTTCTACAATGACATACCAAAAACATGCATAACTGCTCATTTGAACATCTGGAAAATCATGTCTTAGGTGCAGCATTTTGTGATTCTGACTTTGTGGTTCTGAGAGTTTTGTGTAGCGCTGTATGAGGTGTATAATCATGGTAAAAAGAAAGTAGACTTCAATTCTAAGGTTTTGGGTATTGGGACATAATGAAAGTAATCTGGTCCACAACAGATCTTAAAATGAGGTAAATACAGTCTGAGATGAATTACAAAACAACACATATTACACCCTGTCATTATTTATTTAACAAAAACAACATGCAGACGCAGTGTGTGAAAGATGAAGTACACCCTTACTGGTTACATAGGAACCAAGAGGGTAGAAAGCAGCCAGGCACTGTTGATCAACTGCAGTTGATGAATTGATTGTTGGAAAGTGTGAGGTTTGTGGAGTTTGCAGGAGCATTCAGATAACTGTTACCACAATGCCAAGGAGAAAAGACATCAACAATGATCTTTGGAGAAGCAAGTGTTGCTGTTTGTCAATCTGGGAAGGGATATAAGGCCATTTATAAACAGTCCATCATTCTTCAGTGAGGTCAGGCCTTAGCATATTAAATGTTAAAGTACAGGACAGTTAAAGGACAGTACAATTAGAAAAAGCATGGCTTGTTCAAAAGTCACCAGGAGAAAGCTTCTTCTCTCTAATATAAACATGGCAGCATGGCTTAGATTTGCAAAGTTGTATCTTCTTGTTGTTGGCTTTGGACATGTGCACCTTGCAGTCGCTGAGTGGATCATGAACTCCCGTGTATACTAAAGTATTCTAGAGTCAAATGTGAGGCAGTCTGTCTGACAGCAAAAGCTTGGCTGAAACTGGATCATGCAACAGGATAATGATCCCAAGCACAGCAGCAAATCTGCAACATAATGGTTAAAAAAAAAGAAAAGAATCAAGGTGTTGCAATAGTCCAGTCAAAGTCCAGACTTCATCATGATTGAAATGCTGTGGTGGGACCTTGAGAGAGCTGTGCATAAATGAATGCCCCAAAACGTCAGTGAACTCAAGCAATGTTGTAAAGAAAAGTGGGTCAAGGTCTGTATGAATGCAGCACAAGGAATTTGTAGACATGACCTGTGATTAACATGTCTCAAGCTTTTATTGTTTTCCCCCTTATACTTGTGTCAGTGCTAAACATCACACTTTACTAAGTGTGGCTTGTTAATAAAGTTGTTTCTAGTTGCAGGAATAAGTGAATCTGTGTAGAGGTGGAGAATCTTTAAAGATCAGACTGGATTTTATATTTATATATACTAGATACACTCTTTTTTTTACTTATAACACTAAAAAGGGGTTTTACGTGAAATAATCATCTCTCCCTTGTAATCATTGTAGAGGCTGATCTGAGTCAGTGAGACAGAAAACACACAACAGTGCTCCACCACCACTAACCTCCCTTCCCTCATCTAGGGTACCAAAAACTCTTTTCTACAATTTTTAGTCATCCCCCAATTACCCAGAGGCAGGCGGGCTTTGTAAAGAGATTCCTGCACTCACATTTACAACAAAAACCATCCTTTTTTAGCTGTATCTGATGGTATTCATTATTTTACATTTCTGGTTTTTAAATAAAAGTTTCTATCGAGTCAAGCCTTGGCTGTCTCTGCCTTTGACTGAATTATATGATTTCCTGTATTTCTTCAGAAGCTCAGTTTCGTTTAATGAGACTGTGTTCTGTGTGAGACCCCACAGCGTGTTTTTCCTCCC